TACTTGTTGAAAATCTTTCAGTCGGTATTGACTAAATGATTGAATTAATTATCGACACCTAAATGAAATGGCCGACCCAAAAATCACTTGGGATCATTGGAAGTGGTCTAATATAATTAGAGATGCTCATAGTCATTTTACTTTGTGGAGGCTCATATAGGTTGGCCCATTTGTTGCCTTGGTCTAGGCCCACTTCTTTACTTAACCTATATGTATATATGTAGGGGTGGACAAAACCCGACCAAACCGCATAAATCGAACCAACCCGACCGGTTTGGGTTGGTTTTTTTGTTTTTTTACACGGGTTGGGTGAGTTGGTTGTATGGGCGGGTTGGGTCGGGTTGAGTTGAGTTGAGTTGGGTCGGTCGGTCGGTCGGGTTATGAGTTAACTCATAAAAATCGAATAAACCCACCCAATCCAATCCAACCCAACTATATTTATGAACTTTACAAGTGTTATGATGTTACTTGGAAACTCTTAGAATAATATTATAAAATTTGAATAGAATGTATTTTATGAAAAGTAGTATAAGCAAATACACATTCAACACAAAAATATTTTAATTGTCAAAAATATTTCTTAACTTCATATAATTTAATATCAATCTGTCCATGTAACATTTTCGGGTATGAAGTGCCAAAATAATTCAAATTTTTTTGTTCATTGCAACTACGGAGACCAAATATTATATAAGTTATGAATCAATTATAAATCCGTCCAATCCGACCAGCTTACTTTAGTCTTTATTGATAAATTGTCACAATCCGACCAACTCAACCCAACCTGATCGATACTTGATTGGGTTGGATATCAACCTTTACACGGGTTGGGTTGCATTACATTATAATCAAACCGATCATGCTGGGTTGCGTTTGGGTTGAGGTAAACATTTAATTACAATTCAATTAAATGAATTACATAATTTCACTTTTGATTGAACCAATCATATAAATAGACTAGTGTTCCAGAATCACCGGTTAGATAACATTATTCAAAGTGGGTAATGCTATTTAACATTATCGGTGTTTAACACCAGTTTATGTAACAACAATAGTGTCATTAAATTACAATTCAATTAAATGAATTATATAATTTTACCTTTAATTGAACATATGCAACATAAATTGGTGTTCTAGCATTATAATGCGAGATAGTATGATGCAAACTGAGAAATGCTATTAAATATCATATGGTGTTTAATACCAACTATGTGACGACAATAGGTGACATTAAATTACAGGTCAATTAAATGAATTAAATAATTTCACATTTTATTGAATTTATAACATAATGCCACATAAACTGGTGCTTAACACCGTATGTGCTAAATAACATTATTCAAAATGAGTAATACTATTTAACTTTACTTGTGTTTAACACTAGTTCATGTGATAGTAATAATGACATTAAATTACAGGTCAATTAAATGAATTACATAACTTTACACTTAATTGAACATATCACATGATGCTACATAGACTTCTACTCTACTTTATTCAAAGTGAAATCAATCTGTGTTATATCTAATCCCTTGTCTTAGTCAAGGACTTTGTAGTTAGAACACGTTAGGAGATGATGCGTCTTAAAATTTGTTAGTGAAGTGAACAATGCTATGAATTGGACTGAACTAAAGAATCTATCCATAAATATGAACATTTCTCAAGTGTTGCTTCAAGAACAGTCAATTAGGCCTTCTCGTCTACGCATAAGTTTCTTAAACTTTCGTGTTTGATTTGGTGTCTTGGAAACTTCAAATATATAATTGAGGTTGTGGTTGACAAATGCTAAAAGCCTCATTAGTTGCTAATTGCCACTTTCCACACGACACCAAGTTTGACCGAGTCATTCAAATGCAACGTCCAGGTAATGTGAAATATGTTAATTCCTTGTTTGGCAACCATTATTTTCAAACTTTTTTTTACATACTCGTTTTTAATTATACATTCACACAATACAACATTTTACACGTAAATTCAAAAAACTTCTCTATATTTTAACCACACGTTCTTCTAAAAATCACTATTCAAAATTCTATTTTTTTAAAAAAAAATAATGATTGTCAAACATGGGCTAAATAATAAGAAATAGGATGAGCTCTCCATTACAAGAAAGACGTCCTCAATAGGTAACAAAAAGTAATAATTTACTTAAAAATTAAAAAAAAAA